AAAAAAAAAAAAAAAAAAAAGAAAGAAAGAAAGAAAACAGACTCAAGAGTTGATGATTTTTTTGTTTCTTAAGATTTTTTTTCTTTTTAAATTAGGATTAACATTTGTTCTGTGGTGCTTGAGGCATATTCATATAACCAAAGTTTGGGAACTTCATGCTAATGTGTACATATTGCTGTAAGGTTATATAATTAATAAATTTTCATTAATAAATCAATTGCCAGAAACTCCTTTATCATTTATATTTTATGTGTGCGTATATAACATGCTCTTTAACTGTGTCTGTGTGCAAGCACATACAATCTCAATAAAGTTATGCTGGTGGAAAATGATGAGGTTTAGGCATGATCGGGATTCTGTTTAAAGTCCTTTATTTAGAGTCATGTCCATTTATAGAACTGGCAACAAACATAAATAATAATATCTTTCAGAGGTTACAGTGAAACCCAGAGCTAATCCTATGCACATTGATAGTAGACTATAATCACAAAAACATTTATTCAGATTTCCAAAATAATCCTGAACCACACTGTTATCATTCTGGTTTATAGCCAACTGTCAGGAATAGCTAATGGAGGTCAAATCCTATTAATAAAGAACTTCAGTAAGTGTTCTAAACTCCTGTTAATCAGTATTGATAGGAAAAAGCAGTTTGTTGGCCAGTGTCCACACTCTTTTTGTTTGTAGAGATTAAGAGGATTGTGGGATCTGGCCTTTGAAGGAAGCTACTTGTCAGTGATGAATTCTTTACCATAGTAAACACAATTTTCAATCATATCCCAAATTCAGAAGAGTCTGGCTTTAGTTCTGCTGATACTAACTCTTTCCTTCCCAGCCCATTCTCTGTTTTAGTTAAGTAGTCATGGTTCTGTTTCTTTTCCTCATTTTCTCAGCCCTCCACTCTTCCCCTCTTACCCAGCCCAAGACTAGATGACCAGTTCTTAAAAGTGTTTCATAAACAGTGAAGGTTAGTTCTTGTTGTAGAGAAATCATCAAATCCAGTTCAGAAGTCACCCAGCCTAATACTCTGGAACACAGAATCTAAGACTCAGCACTTGGTGCCACGTGGGGCTAGCGGCAGGGCCTTCTGCCTAACTGCCTCTCACTGTGGAAGGGTTTTCAAGAATAAAATTTGATTATTTATTTGCTCCAATATATTCTGGCATTGGGACAGCTAAATTAGATGGAAAATGAAGACAGCTAATGTCCATTTTTTGAGAACGGAGGAAAGTGGAGAGAACACAATTACTTTGTCCTTAAGGGACTTATGGAAAAAAAATGACACAAACATCTGATTAACATTTGTATCTACTTTGAGATATCTAACAGCACTTTTTATTCTCTTTCATTTTAGGCTTATTTTCTTATTTCATGTTGTTTGTTCCTTTAATAAGGCATCAAGACATTAAAGGGAGATTTAGAATTCATAGGTTTTTAGTGAAGCTCGCTTACTTTTTCCTTTCTGTCTAGCTCACTCAAACATACAATGACAGTTTAAGGCAACAATGTGCAGTAGTGGAAAGGGCTGTTGTCTGGGTAGAGTGCTGTGGTGTCACAGCTTATAACCTCAAATTCTTGGCCTTGAGCAATCCTCTTGCCTCAGCCTCCCCAGTAGCTGGGACTACAGGTCCACTACCACTACACCTGGCTAGTTTTTCTGTTTCTATTAGAGATAGGGTCTCACTCTTGCTCAGGCTGGTCTTAAACTCTTGAGTTTAAGAAATTCACTTGCCTCTGCCTCCTAGAGTGCTAGGGATTACAGGAATGAGCCATCGCACCTGGCTTGCATGAGATTTTAAATCAGGCAAGCTGGGTTCAAATTCTAGCTACACCCCTCACTAATATTTTAACTGTGTCTAAATACACTGAATTTTTAAGTCAGCCAGAATATGGGTTAATAGCCCCTACTAGGAAATAAAACATGTGAAGCATTGAATACCGGGTCTGAAAACTACTTGGTACCCCAGTAAATTTTAGGAAACATTTATAGAGTAGTTACTATACATATATTTGCTCATTTTTCCAATGAGGTAACATGTTCAGAGGTTAGGGACTATTCAATAGTCAGCCCTTAGTCATGATTTCAGTTACCTGTGGTCAACCATAGTCCAAAACTATTAAGTAGAAAACTCCAGAAATAAACAGTTCATAAGTTTTAAATTTCAAAGACCTGCTAAAGCAAAATATAAAGAAGATACAGAATCTTGTGATATCCAAAATGTTCAAGTTTTAATCAAAATTTGTGTCATACAGAGAACCAGGAAGACCTCAACTTAAATGATAAAAGACAACAGACAAGCAACATTGAGATGACACAGAGGATTTTAAACCAGGCTTCACAGAAACACTCCACTGAGCAACTATGAACATACTTGAAATAAGTGAAAATGAAAGTCTCTTCAAGGAGATAGAAAGTCTCAAGATGTAAATAAGGACCAAATGAAAATTCTGAAACTGAACGATAATAAAAATTGTAAAGATCAGGATGGCGCCTGTGGCTCAGCGGGTAGGGTGTGGGCCCTATATACTGAGGGTGGCGGTTTCGAACCCGGCCCCAGCCAGCTAAAACAACAGTGGCAACTGCAACAAAAAATAGCCAGGTGTTATGGCGGGTGCCTGTAATCCCAGCTACTTGGGAGGCTGAGGCAGGAGAATCACTTAAGCCCAAGAGTTGGAGGTTGTTGTGAGCTGTGATGCCACAGCACTCTGCCTAGGGCAACAGAGTAAGACTGTCTCAAAAAAAAAATTTTTTTTTTAATCCACAGATGGGCTCAACAAGAGTATAGGAAGAAAGTGTGATATTGATACAGGCAAAAAGTAAACAAGTAGACTAATGGAACAGAATAGAGAATTTAGAAATATATATATATTTTCAACTCATTTTTGATAAAAGAACAAAAGCATATAATGGAACAAAGATAATCGTTTCAACAAATGGTATTGGAGGCTTGGTGCATATAGCTCAGCGGCTAGTGCGCCAGCCACATACACCCGAGCTGGCAGGTTCAAATCCAGCCCAGGCCTGCCAAACAACAATGACAACTACAACCAAAAAATAGCTGGGCATTGTGGCGGGTGCCTGTAGTCCCAGCTACTTGGGAGGCTAAGGCAAGAGAATCGCATAATCCCAGGAGTTAGAGGTTGCTGTGAGCTGTGATGCCACAGCACTCTACCCAGGGCGACAGCTTGAGACTTGTCTCAAAAAAAAAAAGGTGTTGGAAGAAGTGGACATCTACTTGTTTTTTAAAAAGATTAATCTAGATTAAGATCTTATACTTCTAACAAATTAAATCAAAATGGGTCATAGACCTAAATGCACAATGCAACACTATAAAACTATTAGATAACATAGAAGAAAAATCTAGATGACATTGGTAATGGCTTTGTAAGATAAAATACCAAAGGCACAATCCATGAAAGAAATAATTGAATAATTTTAATCAAGTGATTAAAATTAAAAACTTCTGCTTTGTGGAAGACACTGTTAAGGGAATGAGAAGACAAATCATAAACCGGAAAAAAATATTTGCAAAAGACACATCTGTGAAAGACTTACCTAAAACACGCAAAGAACTCTTACAACTTAACAATCAAAAAAAGAACAACCCAATTTAAAAGTGAGCAAAAGAATACCCATCTCACCAAAGATGACATACAAATTATAAGTAAATATATGGAAAGATGCTCAACATTGTATGTTCTTAGGAAATTGCAAGGATGAGAAGCTACTACACACCTATTAGAACGGCCAAAATTCAAAACACTGACAAGACCAAGTGCTGACAAGGGTGTAAAGCAACAAGAACATTCATTCATTGCTGGAGGGAATGCAGAACGGAAGAGCCAGTTTGGAAAATAGTTTGACAGCATCTTACAAAATGAAAAGATACATTTACTGTATGACTCAGTACTCACACGCCTTAGTATTTATCTAGATGAATTGAAAACATGTCCACACAAACACACAGATGTTTACAGCAGCTTTATTCATCATTGCCGAGTTTGTAAGCAACTAAGATGTTCTTCGGTAGGTGAATGGATAAACTATGATGCAACGGAATATTATATAGCACTAAAATAAATGGGCTATCAAGCCACAGAAAGACATGGAAGGAACTTGAATGAATATTACTAAGTGAACTAAGTGAAGGA